AATGTTAGTTATATTTGTAATTTCATTTATTAGATCTGTATTTATATTCTGTCTATTTAGAATATCTCTTACAATATCTCGTAGCATGATTGTTGGAATATTTGTATACATATTATTGATGTCAAAAGAACAAATTTGTATATTTTTATTATTATGAAAATTCAATTGTTGGATTTCGTTTATTAATTTTATAGAATTTGTTATGTTAAACGTATTTGGTAGATTAATATCGGACACGCACCTCACACGCAACCCGGTATGTTATAATACTTTAAATATTTTGTGATTACTTTTCTTTTGCTTGTATTACGATATATTGAGTAATTCTTTAAAATTATTCCATTTCCTATGTCAGTAGCCAGGATCAGGATATGAAAATTAAAATTGATTTTGCAGATTTAAGACATCCAGGCGCAGTCTTCAAAAATTAAATGGAAGAAGCCTGGAGGTTAAACAAATAAAATCTAACGGGTAGAACAAATCAGTATACGCAGGGCAGCAAGTGCAACAGTTTTTAATTTTAATTGATAGACCTGACGATGATGGAATGAACATCGAAACATGTCGTCATTTTAAAATGTAACAATATCATATGTTGAAATGTTATAATTTTAAATTTAATTTTATGTGATTTTAACAATCTATAAGCTTGTGTAAAGACGGTGAATAAAATTATTGTATTGAAGAACACAAGCATGACGCAATTAAGATATAAATCCATCTTGATATTAAGCTGCCATCTCATTCACGTTCTTCCAAGTTGCCGATTTTATACTCCCTCAATTTTTATCATGCAGGCTTACCCATCAATTGTACTCGACGGAGACCGTATTCAGAAAAAAAATACTATGAACGATGATAACAAATAAAATTACTTTTAAAAATAGTTGATGTTCAGCGTGTCTTTAAAATATTAACATCGGTTCATACTGTTTGAAGACATGTTCCAAGAATGACCTATGTTCATAATGTTGCAAAAATTCGCTCCAATAATGGCCTCGGACCAAGGGAACAAGTAAAGAGAGAGTAAATGTGCAAATAAGCGAGTAAAAGAAAAAGGAGAAAAGACAGAAAATAAAAAGAATGTGTACTTTATATGAAACTCTGACATGTGACATATTCATACGCGGTTTGTGTAACGACGGTGTCAATGTTTCAAATTATACCGTCGAAATGGATTGAATGATTAATTGGGCAGCCGTGTCCCAATTTGAGATACTATCCCTACAGTTGACTGAAGGAGCTGAGGAAGACCACGAAAACCCTGAGTCAGGATAGGCGGTTTTCCGACTAATATTTTAACATGGAACCTCCGAATACGAAGAGCGTACCACTCAACGGCAAACCGTCTGTCAATTTGACTTTGATTAAAACACAAACACGCGGTTTATACAAAGCATTTATTTAATTTGAAGTACCTGTGACCGGTACGACCCACTGGGAATTGCGGGACATTACTCTAGTGCCTACCTCCCACGATAAAATGATTGTTATAAACCAATCCTTTTTCAATGCCTCTATTCCAGTTGTGGAGTTTAGTTTTATCTAATTGGACCCACAGATTAATCACCCAAGACGGAGGAGAGCCAGTTTTTGAAACTTGTAAATAAGATATTTGTTATTTTTTCCCCCAAGATTTATCTTTATGTAATTTTAAATACAGGTAATGGATTGTGTCCAACAAAATACACTAGACCGAATGCTGCTTGAAACGAAATTAAGTTAAAGTACGTTGGACCGCAAATAGGTCATATCCAATCACCTCTGTTCATATACGCATGTTGTTGGAAATCACACCATGGCGACCGTACAAATTCTGCGTTTACTTTTCGATTTGTTGTTTCACAAGTTTGTCATGAGTCCGGTTCGAGTACGGCTACAAGTTTTCGCACAACGGAGCAGAAGCAGATTACTCGTTGCCTGCTTTCCCCCTACAGTACGACGTACCGTAATTCAAAGTAGGGTCTCGAAGTGCCGACCTACTGCTTGAAAAATATTTCTCGGTTCAAGGCGAAGTAGCTGTTTTGGAATAGCGGAAATTTCTATCGAATATTCTTTGTCAGTTCTCGTTGTGTTTTAGTTTTATTCACATACACTTTATCCCTTGCTATTCCTCATAAATGAAAATCGTAAGGATTTAAACCGGGTGAGCAACATGCTACAATTCTCGACTTATCATCTGTTCATCAGAAACTCAGCTCATTAATATATTTATTAGCTGTGTGCGGCACAGCACTGTCCTGCATGAAGTATACATTGTTTTTCTGTCTTCGGTCAGTTGCTCTAAAAAAGGTTTTAAGAATAAAATCTTGCATAACGTTCATTAAGAAAAACTGCCCTACTATTACACGAGCACTTCTTTCACCACACACGGAAATTCCAATCGTATAGAGGCACACGGTTCGAAAACATGTGCTTTGGTTTGAGCAAGGGAGTTTTTTAAGATTAGTTTCCAGGAAACAGCAGATGGCCTGTCGACCTCAGATTTCAAGGCCGTCAATCTTGTGATAAACTGTATTCTCTGTATAATTGAATTACATAGCTTAATACTAAAAGAAAATTAAACATTATGGTAACAAGTCATATTTTTGATAAAATAAACAAATATTAGTAAGGTATATTTAATTTATCCACGCAATCACCGGTTTTTGAACACCAAATGAACTGCTTCTAGATGGCAATCCAGAATGCACACTGTCAGATTACATCCATAATTTAGAGTGAACAAAACCAACAACTATTAACACTATAATGGACACTATTGCCATACGCGTTTCGACCTCAAGAGGTCATCATCAGGAAAATTAATACATATAATCAAATGGTTCGAGCAAATTTCATAATTAAAATGAAAGGTAATTGACAAGATGACTGCACTAGATGCTGTTATTCACAGAAGTAAAACTCGCACTTAGCTCCTGTGAATAACAGCATCTAGTGCAGTCATCTTGTAAATTACCTTTCATTTTAATTATGAAATTTGCTCGAACCATTTGACTATATGTATTAATTTCCCTGATGCCACTGATGATGACCTCTTGAAGTCGAAACGCGTATGGCAATAGTGTCCATTATAGTGTTAATAGTTGTTGATTTGTTCACTCTATATTCTAATACACTACATGGTATGCAAAGTTTTAACATCCATAATTCTTTAAATATTGTCATCTATTCATTAACTTACTTCTGGTTCATGCTGTTGTTACCATAAAAAATTGCTATTTCTTAATTCATATTATGTACCATTTTGCAGAGCTGTCAACAACTTTTTAAGGTAAAACTGAAATTACCTGTACTTTCTATATCTGTATTTGTACATGTATTTTAAACTCTGGTCTTTCCTCCACTCATAGAAAACTTCTTAATCCCCCTCCCTTTTGCATTATCTGAAACCCGAAATTAGAGTGCTCAAGAGGCCAAACATTGTGGCAAACAGAATCTGCACTCAGAGAAAATGAGGCCCATAAATTCTTTCCATATCCTGTAGTTTTCATTCATTTATAAACTCTAGCTTTTTCTTCTGAAGTTAAATGGTTACGACTGTTGACTGGTATCACGTTTCACTTACATGTATTTACGGTTATGTAAACTTTTCATCTCATTTTCAAGTAACATCTGGTTGTTGATATAGGTTAAACACTGGGTCTGAGTAAAATGAAGGCCTAGTCAAATTAACTACTTCCATTTTATCACATTACCTTGTTACTAGCAGTCTTGTTATTTGGCCACCGGGTTCGAGACCAAATCAGACCACGTGTTGGACCAACGCACTACATCAATTTCCTTTACACATATTCCATTCTTGTCTTCACTCTTTCATACATCTGTGCTTCTTTCCAACAATTAATATTTCTTATCTGATAATTTCTACCCTACTTTCTCGGAAAGGGGATCAGCCCATTGCGAGGTCTCACCATGTCAATATATAAAAATGTGAACGCATGTCCATGCCCCAAGGCGGATTTATACCCGCAATCCCAGAAGTCGAGACGTTCAGAAATGTGTGTGTGTGGTCAGTATAATCATCCTCACTAATACAACAGAATCTAAATAACCTCACTAGTTGATATTATTTCATTACCATATCAAAAAATTCTGTTCCAGGTTCTGTAAAACACTGGTAAGTATGTAAGATTTGAGGTTTTCACAGCGGTGAGTATGAAGATTTCTGTCTTCTGGGTTGTTGCGCTGTGTAGTCTTGTCGATGTTTACCAACGTTTCAGAGGTCATACTGCCTCCGTCATCAGGGCGTTGAATATTCATCCAGACTACACAGCGCAACAACCCAGAAGACAGAAGTCTTCACTGGTAAGTATGTACAAAATAATTTTGAACTTCTTACATATGAGAAAAAATTATTTGGATATAATGAAAACAGAGGAAGTAAGAGGAAAAACATACTTAATAAAGGACTTCAAAATTTGTAAGCCTCCTCTTCATCAAGAACTTTTACAGTGATTAAATGAAGGAGGATAAAATGGATATGTACCATGTATGAGACAAGAAATTTACACAACACTGTTGCAACAAAACTACTTCTTCTCAAAGTTCTAAGAACCAAACCCTACAGAACAATAGCTGTTTTACATATGAAACATGGTCCCTTACTCTGAGGGAAGAACATAAATTAAAAAAATGTTTGAATCTAGGACACACAAAGTAAGTGAGCAATTTAGAATATTCATGATTTATGCAGGTTGCCTAATATTGCCAGGATAGTAAAATCAAGTACAATATTATTGTGCTGGGCAAGTAACTAGAACTGAGGAGACAATAAATTAAACAGAATTTTGATGAGGAAACATCATGAAAGACATCTATTTTGAAGATGACAAAGGTAAAATTTATTAAATGGGGCAGAATGAGGACATCTTGTCTGTCCATTAGCATTTTTATCTCCTCCACTTGGTATTTAGGGTCTACACTAAAATTTGATAATTGAATATAATGTAGCCTCATTTTGACCCATTATCTAGAAAGAAACACAGAGAAAACAAATTACATATTTCATGATCAGGATTTGGGACAAAATTGTAATACAGAAATTGCTAATATATTTTTAAAAAATGTGTTATAGTTCAAATATTTGGAAATGGCAGTAACAAATCAAAATTGCATTAATAAGGAAATAAAAAGTACTTGAAGAATGCCTGCTAACGTTCAGTTCAGAATTGTTTGTCTTCACATTTCCTGTCTAAAAATGTAAATATTAAAATGTTAGTGTACAAAATTACAATTTTCTTTGTGTTGGCCTGCATAGCTATGAAAAATATGAAATTTCTCTTATTTTTATAACTAAGAATAATATAAATTTCCAAATTTTTATAGACTTTCAAACTGTCTTCTACTTTTTTGAGGTCTGATAATAAAGAGAAATTATCAGTTCTTTATAAGCAGATCCAAAGGGCAAGGAGGTCTTTAAATCGAATTTGAGACTAAACTGCAAGTTTCTGAATCACTATGGCAAGTGAGCTTTGCTTCTTTGGGAACCTTGATTGTGAAATTATGTAGAAAGTTATCTACATTCATAACAACAATTACTCTGTTCCTTGAAATGCTTTGTCTGCTTTCATGTTTGGTGTTATATATTTAATAAATTAGATGTACTGGACTTTTCCGGGTTGAAAAATCCTGCAATAAATTGTACTAGTGATTTATGTGGACAAATCTCCTTTTATTAAAAAAAATTGGACTAGTAGCTGTTGAATGTAAGTTTCCATTTTCTACATCTAACGAAACACACTTCCATGTATGACAATAATAACCCCAAGAACTGCCCACACTGAAACAAAACTGTGAACCAATACAATTATTACCGAGACAAATGAAGCAGTGGTTTTTTGGTCTGTTATGCAAACTATAAGCCTGAAACTGTTTTAATAGTATCACCATGACAACAGTTATAATAATTCATGCACACAGTCATAAACAATATCCTATTATAATGTGTAGTATGGCTAAAAAACAATGATTCCTCTTAATCCTACTTTCCTTTCTGGCCCTAAAAGGTTACTTTTTGTATTTTCTGTTGTTCCCTCTCTGCCCTCACACAGCTATTCTCTTTGGCGCCCTGAAAAATGCTATGTTTTATTGGCCTGGTACAATCCTTCTTTAAATGCTATACAAACGATCCACTTACACTTCATCTTCTTACTTCAGATTTAAAGATGGTGGCAGCATGTTCCTCCAAAACAGTAGAATACAGGAAGATACTACACAGTACAATGACCAAAATACCAACATCTATAGCATCTGTATGATCCTATTAATAATTTATACACAAAGTTGAATAATTGGAATTCATAAATAAATTTATGTTCTTCTCATTACTTATGAACCTAATAAATACAAGTATTTAACAGCTAGTATACACCTTAATGACATATGTATTTAATGTTATGTACATACATTTTTTTGGAGATATTTAGGCTTGTCACCTGACATGAATGCACGCCAGACCATCAAAACAAGAGTAAAAGTAATAATGTATTCAGATGTTTCTAATTACTGTAAGGAGTTATTTTTCTTTTCTACAGTCATAAAAGCTTAGCTCTGGTTAAAATAAGCCATGAATTTATTTCAGAAAGGAGTGTACTATAAAGGTATCAAGTTGTTTAATAATCTTCCACCAACAATTAAAAGTCTAAATTATGATATAAAGGTATTCAAGCCTGCACTGAAATATTACCTCTTCACTCACTCCTTCTATTCTGTAGATGATTTCATCTCTGTTGAAAATTTTTAAGCTTTATATCCATAATCTACGTATATGTAAAGCAAATTTTGTATTTATATTTAAAATTCTGAGGTTTATGTATATTAATTTGTAAAATTATTTTTCATATTTGTATTGCAGAATCTGAAATTTATGTACATTGATATGTGAAATACGTTCTTGTACTTGTGTTGAAAGTTCTGAAGTGCATGTATATTGTATGAAATGACATGTTCTACATCCTTTGGTTGAGTCCTAAGAAGGATCTATGGAATGTAAATAAACTCTACTCTACTCTACATTTTCAATATATCTAAATGAGGCTACAACCCCTCTATAAAACCATCTTTAAAATCCACTTCTCAGCACTCCTTGCTTCAGACATTTGCCTGTGAATTATCTTCATGCTACCAATATTCTATTTTCTATTCTTAATGCTTCTTCTTTTGTTATATTTGGCAAACACTGCTGCAATTTTTGTTTAAAGACCAAAGTATTAATGTTTATCCTGAATTTTACTTCACTAAATCAAATACAATTAAAAATAAAATAAATGTTTTATACAACTCACAAAATAGTAGCAGAGAGGGTAGCTCAGTCAGTATAGTGACTGCCTATGAACTGGAATACTGGGGTTCGACTCTCGACAGCGGCAGAGGAATTTTCCTCTAGCCTCTGCATCCCAACTGCCACTTGGGCCCAACTAGCCTCCTGCCCAATGAGTACTGGGATCCTTTCCTGAGGGTAAAGCGTGGCATGATGCTGAGGTATACTTACTCACAAGATAGTATATTATTTTCATAAACACCAACACAGAATCTCCACCGTTATACTGCCTACAGGCTGCAATTAATATCTTAACCATATGAAAACTGACAACATGGCATACATATATTTTAGTAAACTTTTAACTTAACAAAAAGGAATTTATACAGTTTGAAATCTCTAGCTGTCTACTGTCTGTAATGACATGCATTTACAAAGCAAAACTTCAAAGACACACTGGACTGGTCCAACTACAAATATTCATTGGGTGTCCTAATATTTTATCTGTCTAACATGGTTAAAAGTTTGGGAGACAGATATTGGAGAAAAACTGTGAATATCTCTCAAGATCTAATTTTCTGTTTATGTAACATTTATGAATACCAGATACAGACATGATTATGCCTACCAGCCTCTTCAGATATGAATATATGAAATTACTATGTGTTGACACCACGCTACAATAAATTAGCTTCTCACCTAGCAAGTTAATTTTGTTACTAGGAAATTGGTTGTCATTGCTGAATGTAAAATTCATCATTTCTCCACATTCTTAAACAGTATTGATTAATAAATTGTGACTAAATAAAGGGAAAATACGTGTATTTTCCTAAAATGCTAGTTATGTTGCAAACTGCCCTGAAATGCTGTTTCTGTAGGTTTACACGTTCATATCCCTTCGACAGATGTATCAAGCTAAGAAAGCATATTCCATACCAAAATACATGTAATATCCTCATGCATTCTTTGCAATGTGCACTTAGAGGTACTTAATCTGTCTTGTTTGATAGTTTTCAGATTGCATGGACTAAAAAAAGAAAGATCTCCTACAAATAAAAGTCCCAATATGACTTACTGCATCATATTATAATTTTACAAACAGTGAGGGATGTAAGACAATGATCAGGCACAGTAACATTTTGTGTTTGATATTACTTCAAAGCTACATTATAAATTTCTTACAATATGACTGGATGATGTCTTATTCTTCCAAAGCAAAAATGACAAGAAACCCACAATGGTAATTGTTTCTGGTTGGGGTAAGTACATACTGGCAGTATGAAAAGCAGGCATTGAGGACAGTTTGCTGGTCTTGGAATGTTCTTGAAAACAAATTAAATAATGCTCCTTTCATTCTTGATCATTCAATGATACTTTAACTGATGCAATTTAGTGTTGAATGGCAGGACGATCACAAATAAATATATACAACAATAAACAAAACAAAAAATGGAAAGAAATTGGTCACGGCCAACTATTTTCATAGAGAAAGAGGCAATCCAGGAAAAACTTTATTCAAGACAGGTGGTCATAAGGCTGTCTTAAGCCTGTTACTTCATAAATACCAAACAGTGGTAAGAACAACATCTGGTAAGAATCATAAAAACTTAAAAATGGTTGCTTACAAGGTACTCCATGACTCCCTGCCAGTGTAGTGAACTTATGTGGTAACATATTTCAAGTTGTCAAATCTTAAAGATGTCATAACAACCCTTAAATCAAAAGATTCGTTCTGAATCGAGAATCACTATTGGGTTAAAGGAAGCAGTTCTGAAATCATCAGTAACACTTTTAACTTCAGTACATGATTTAATACGTTACGGTATCGCTACAGTATACTTCATAGATTTGATCACCAACCAAACACTTCTCTAGTACATTCCTCTCAGGGCGGCGAATTACTGAACGCAAAGAATACTTTTAATTCCAAAGAAAACATTACAGCAAAGATGCCCAGCAGTCGATTGTCGTAACCTTCACAGAACTATGAATACAGGACAAATGGTAGTGGTGATACGCCATTCCTCTGGTAGATGGCAGAAATTCTTGATTTAACTGGTAGTGACATCTAGTAAATGTAAACTCAATTCAAAAACTATAAGAAGAGGTGTCTTCCATGTAACTCCTTGAAAAAAATTCAGTCTGCGACTTTATGGCCTAATTTAAGTGCTGTAAACGTGATTCAGTACAAACATTAGAGAAATTACATCACTGCTTGCTTAATAAAGCGCCACGCCATGAATGTGTACGGAAAATGAGTGTTACGTGTGTATCAAGTCCAGGCCGGTACTTGTTAGCGGAGTGAGAAAGCTCTATCGGGAATGGAATCCTAATCATCCAGCCTTGTAGGACTAGTTCCCATATTGTCTGAGCTACTAGGGTTCTGCAAAAAGAAAACTATCGTCCGGCGAAAATGTCTGCGGACAGCTCAGTTAGGACTGTACTCGCGGAATTAAATTTCAGGTATGGCAGGGCTTTTTTTATATTCTACTGTGCACTATGAACTGGCCGGTAGCAAGCATTCTCTGAATTTAATCTGCTCTAAATATTTCGTGACAAAAATGCAGTTGTGAATACTTCACTAACTTGTAATAACGTGAAGATTTCCGTCTTCTGGGTTGTTGCGCTGTGTAGTGTGTGTATTAACGTAATTATAAATGTAGCAAGGATCAGATTACTTGCGAGTTCTTGGCGCGGGGGCGAAGAGCAAGGTGATAAGCACTGCGCGCGCACCTCCAAGCTTTTTCTACCCGTTCTACCCAGCCGTTCCGTGAACCGACGAGGCCGTGCCGAGTGCAACTATCCACAGCGCTAGGGAGCTCAGCTATTAAGTAATCTGGTCCCTACTGCATGTAACTTCATTTTGCTGCGTTCGACTGTAAACCAAGCCAAATAATTCAGATAACCATTACATACATCACAAGACATTTATGTCAAATGTTTCTTGGTCAACCCTAATGGGTTAGACCATTCTCTTTTCCATCCTTCAATGCCTGTGGCATTGTAGTGCTAACCTCTCTGAGACAACCAATAATTAAATCCTTCCATTTCAACGATTAAATGTTTTGATCAAGAGGGGAATGATTTTGCTACTATTTTTCATCTTAACCAACTCATTTTCTTTGTTCTTTATCGAAATTAAAATGGCACAGATTCCAAGCTGTTTAACCCCATCAGACGCAAGAACTCCATAAATTATCTTCAACTGCTGGAAGAAGATATGCTATCTGACACAGGAGATTGATGATGCCATAAAAGGCGTGCAACAAAGGGAAACACAAATCTGCACGAGTTCTCTGTAGTGCCTAATCAGAGAATGTACTTGCCAATGTAAATGCGTTTCTGCAAGTACACACGTAAATACATAAGCACAGCGTGGAACGAATTAGGTCCGGATTATTTTCAAACTTTTGATGTGGGTCGAATAAAACTGTGTTTGTGTGTTATTGCAAAGAAGTTATATAAAGGCTTGTTCCCACTTACGAGGCATGAGACTTGGGAATTAGTCGCACGTGCCGTCTCTGCTTCAAGCGATCCGTTACAGTGGTCATAATTTAGACCCGCCATACTGAGCCGGCTATCTTAAGAGGTATTACGACTGGATTGTGTTCGGGAGGTAACCGGTTCGAATACGAGCCAGGACACAGAATATTCTCAGTGAGATTTTCTGTGTCTTTTCTCAGTTCCCACAAGAGAAAGATGTGGAGTGGAGTCTGCTTCATCTACACTCGTTTCCATTTAAGAGTGTTCTACGTAATCGTCCTTCAGTCTTGATGTTCATCTTCTGGGTTTAGGAGCCGTGCACATTCCTCGGAATTTACAGGAGAGTCTAAACGGGGCAAAAACCCATAAGATGAACATCATAATCCTCGCCGCCGTGAAAACCTCAAATCTCACATCCTTCAATTTCAATCAACGATAAATACCCTCAACAGTTGGCATAGCTCATGTACAGAAACCACAGAAAACTGCTTCAGTCCTTCCAGTTACAGGAACAAAGATTAGAAAATGTGTGGTCTCTCGTATCACGAATAGGATTTAAGGTTTTCACAGCGGTGAGTCTGAAGATGACTGTCTTGCTGCCTCCTTCATCAGGGAGGGGACTCATTGCCCTGATGATGGAGGCACCAAGGACCTTTAAAACGTTGATAAACTTCTACCAGTCTATACGGCGCTACAAGTCAGAAGACAGCCATTATCGCATCACAAGATTACATTCGACCAGAAGTATCACAAGATCGATTTCTGCAGAGATCCAAATGACGTACCTCGAAAATACCACGCAAAAACAGCTACTGCTATAGATTATCCTAATTGTTTTGTTTGCAGTTTATTTAACGATGCTGTCAGTAGCTCAGTAGTGTCGGATGAAAGGATGATTAATGAATAATAAATTGGAAAAGATATGGAAAGACGCGGTCGTGGCCTGATTTACGTTAATATTCCGGGATTTTCTTGGAGGAACTGTACAAAACCACGAAGAACCTCATTCAGGATAACACCCGGGCCTTCTAAATACGGGGCACGAGTACAAATCACTGGTCATTCTTTGGCATATGTAGATTTAACAAAAAGAAGTTACGAAGCTCTAATTAATAAAATCAAATAACGGCAATGGAAAAGCTTTTTAATTATGAATAAAAGCATGCAGTTTGGACATATTACACCCATGAATATAAACACTGACCTCTCCGATTCTGATTTCTTGAAGGATGCAAGTAGTCTAATGGGACGATGCAAATTCTCACTTTTCGTGATTAGGCAGTGTGCAATGACACTCCGCGCCTGCGCGTGCTTCATATCCACATTTTGAAGATTCACAGTTTGATTAATGATGTCTTCTGCTTGATTAGTTCCGCTAGTCAGCCGAATTAATTACACGCGCGGACTTACTTAAGAGTAGCAAAACCCCGGTGTCTGGGGGGGGGGGGGGGGGGGGGGTGTAGCAAGAGATCATGGGTGATGGCGTCATCCGACCTCAAGTGTTTGGCATCCCGTCACTTTGATATTAAGGATTAATGAAAAGCAAAACATTGCTATCATAAGCTAGGCATCAACGGTATAGCAACCATACTGAATTTAATGAAAATCTGTCGTCATTCTATAGTTAAAGTTTGTGTACAGACCCACAGCCATAATCATTAAGACGGTCAACGGGGTAACAAATGCAAGAATGGTGACAATGTGATAAAAGTACGCACGTGATCATGTTTACAAATCACAAATTAGTGCATCCGTCGCCTTGGTATTAGCGAATGTATGAAATTTGGTTAGCCTAGAGGCCACTCGCTCACTTGAACACAGCAATGAAATGTTAATTAGGGCACCTTGGCTGGCAAATCAGAAGTTACGGGCTATTAGAATGATACGACTTATAATACGAAAAGGCGCCGACTTAATGGAATTAAGAAGACCGATATTTTGCTCTATTTTGTTTTTATCTTCTTGTACGCAAAGGAAAATAAAAGTAAAACTATTATAATGAAAGTGCTGATGTGTCTTTATAAAGTCACGGATCTACGCCACAGGCCTTGTCGTCATTACGTACTCCATATAACTTTATCACCACATCACCACAACAAACGCGACGGGGGAGCGGTTATCGTAGATTTCGGAACTATGAACATCGACTCTTAAGAGAGTAACAAAGAAATAATCGATTCTATTATCTAACTGTGGCACGAACTGGTAACATAATGTTACACTGAACATTTGAGGAAGACGAGGTCTAAAAGAAACAGTGTTTAACTGATTCATTCATAGTTTATTTAATGATACATTTTAAAATGAATAAACCTATGTTACGCTGAATCAAATTGTGAATTATTAACCGGAATGGATGTAAAACAAATAAATAGTGGCCTATTTTAAGGCATTGTTCCATCACTTGCCCCCTATTTAAAAATAATTGGTTACAATTTTGTTTCTGTAGCTAATAAATTTTCTTAAAGATCATAATAATGAAGGTTATGGTCAACGACATTATGGTTGGACCCTATGAAATGTAGTTCACACAACTTTTCACAATATTTTGTGAATTATATTTTAATATTACAAACCGATTTCCAATTATATCTTTTTTCCACTGGAAGTTTTTACGTCTCCTATCTTCTGTGACGTATGCAGAACTTATTTTATATTTATTTGACGTAATAAATAGCATTTCGATATAAAAACTAAATTAAAATCTGGAAACGACAGAACATCCACACAAAGCCTGCACATGCTACAGTTCTATTTGGACCCAGCAGGGGTGAGATGATACAGGGCTGGGACGGTGGTTATGAAGGGTGCGAGCCCGCCCAGGTAGCTGTTGTGAGTAATGCACCCACCACGTGAGGACACCGAAGGGGCAGCTGATGACCAGAGGGGATTGCTACTTCAGCAGATGGACCTATCCACGATGAGTCGTTCAAACACTAACTTGATTTATGAGACCAAGAAACACGTGCGTTAGTTACCTCCTAAGTACACACACACACACACACACACACACACACACAAAATGCTCTATTGCAAAAAAAAGCTAAAAGGAAGTTATCGTAGAACAGCAGCTACCGTGAAATTCGCCATCGCCTGAAGAGAGAAATCAACGCCCTGATGGAGACAGCAAGCATCTTTGAGCGTCGGTAAATTTGTTATGACTACACGGTCAAACATCCCAGAAGGACTCATCGTCACATTTGTCGCCGTAAATACCTTAAATCTCTACCTGCATTTAACTTACTTTAAATGTAACTTAGTAAATCAGATGTGCTACTAAATGTATTGGTGGATTACAATGCGTGACAATACACGTGATCTTACTTTCCGTTAAATTAAATACCATCTCCATTTTTTTTAAATAATGGCCGACACCTGGTGGCTTCAGGGACAGGCAAGCCTAATCTTACACAATTTATGATGATGACAACAAAATATGCAATTTAGAAATAGTCATTAAATAAAACAAGAAGAAGCAGAG